GCACTGGGGCCTGCAGCACAGAAGACGCCCGTGGATCCCGCGATACCTGCGGCGCCAGTGTCGCCAGTGACACCTGTCTCGCCAGTGACACCAGTGGTGCCCACGGCACCCACGATCCTCATGCTACCGTCACCCGGGACACCAGGGGCACCTGTGACGCCTGCAGCACCCATGACGTCAGCGGTGAAGTCCCAGAAGGGACCCACTGCCCGCCAGATGTGCCTGATGCGGGAAGCTCCACCCTTGTTGGGCAGCACGAGAATATGTCCACAGTCACTCCCTCTGGCCTCACCCAGAAAAAGACGGGGGTGGCTGGAAGAACATGGAGAGGTATATTTAAATACCTTTGCTGTGAGCTGCCCTGCAAGAGGGGTGAAAATAAAGTGAGCCCAGAAACACCCAGTGACCTGCCAAGCCCTATGGGACCTCAGCATATTCCTACCTGGATGATGGGACTCAAACCGAGCACCTCCACCCCTTCAGGAAGCCTCCTGTCCAGAACCCTGGCCAGCACAGAGGATGCTCTGGAGGGGCCTGGGCGACCAGAAGAGGCGCCACCCTGGCCTGGCTGCCCCTCCTCCCCTGCTGGGTGAAACTTCAGAGACTGGACTGTCCCCTGGGGCATGTCCCCATCCCCCACACTTCTGTCTTCCATGTGGTGGGGGAGGGGATATTTATTGCCAACACTTTGGTTCTTCCCTTGGTTCAATCTTAATAAACTTCATGCTCCAGAAAAAAAAAAAATTACATTGGCCATATATTTTTTACCTGTTTATTATCTATATCCAGTGTAAGCTCTGTAAGACAGGGGCTGGAGGGGCAGGGTGCTTGCTTATTTTGATCACAACTATCTTTCCAGTCCTGCAATCACAGTCCAGCACATCTTCATGGGTACTTTAAAAATATTTTTTTAATTGAGGTAGAGTTGATATGGGCTTCCCTGATGGCTCAGGCAGTAAAGAATCTGCCTGCAATGCAGGAGACTCAGGTTCGATTCCTGAGTTGGAAAGATCCCCTGGAGAAGGGAATGGTTACTCACTCCAGTATTCTTGCCTGGAGAATTCCATGGACAGAGGAGCCTGTCAGGCTATAGTCGATAGGGTCGCAAAGAGTCAGACACAACTGAGCGACTAACGCTCCCTCATAGATAGTGGACATAAAGATTATATAGTTTTCAGGTGTACAACATAGTGATTCACAATTTTTTAAAGTTCTATTTCATTTATCATTATTATTAAATATGGCAATGTTCCCTGTGTTGTACAATATATCCTTGTAGCCTGTTTATTTTATACATAGTAGTTTGTGTCTCTTAATCCCTTCCCACGATATAGCCCCTCCGTCCTTCCCTCTCCCCACGGATAACCACTAGTTTGCTCTCTGTATCTGTGAGCCTGTTTCTTTTTTGTTGTCATCACTAGTTTCATTTTTTAGATTCCACATGTAAATAGTATCACACAGTATTTGTCTTTGTCTGATCTATTTCATGTCACATAATACCCTCCAACTCCAGCCGTGTTGTTGAAAAGGGCACATGGCTGACTTGTTCTTCCTCAACAGCCCTTCATAAAATAAAATCTCTCTCCCATCAATGGACTGGTAATAGTGCACCATGCTGCCAGTGTCTCTACTTGCTTGTGTGTTGTAGGGTAGATTATATGAGGGAACCTGTGTGATGACTCCCCTTCTCTCCTTCCTCTGCGGCAAAGCCCTCTTTGATCCAAACAGCTGCACAGAGTTACTCCTCTGAACTCCTCCAACACTGACCACTGACCACTTTCCACCTGGTCTCACTGGCCATCTCCTCCCGTCCCAGCACACTCCCCATCCTAGAGTGAGGGTCCCTCTGGTTAGGTTCGTGGCTCATTCATCTGCATCCCACCCCTCCATGGCATGTAGTAGATGCTCCAGCAAGATCTGTGGGGTGAACACAGATGTGACTGCCTGGACTATGGCTCACCACGAAGGCCGTGGTTTGAAAGGTCCGCACTCCACACCGTGAGTGCTGCTTTATTACCGTGCCAGGGATTGGAGGGAGGCAATGCTCACCCCAGAGAGAGAGGAACTACAAGGAACTCAGTGCAGTGCTGAAAAGGACAGGTGTAACTCGGGAAAATTCCCCATCTGAGATGTGGTTCTTCGTCTGCACAGTGAGAGGCTTGGACCGGATGGGCTCTGGGGATTATGGCAAGGGGAGCAGAGCGTGGTTTTCAGAGCTGGACTCACCTGGGTGTGGCTGCTGCTGCTTCTACAGGATTAGCTGTGCAGCCTTATGTGCACACTCACCTCTCTGGGCGCCTCTCCTCGGCTGTAAAATGGGGTGAGTGACCCCAGATGATAGAGCTGTCAGGTGGATTAAATCAAGTGATGCGGGCACAGCCCCTGCCTCAGTGGCCGCCCCTCATACCGGCTCCTTCTTTGGACCCCGGAGTCCATGTCCTCACCCTTTGGTTTTTGGGGTTTTTTGGCCGTGTTACACAGCATGTGGAACCTTAGTTCCCTGACCAGAGATTGAATCCATGCCCCCTGCAGTCAAAGTGTGGAGTCTTAACCCCTGAACTACCAGGGAAGTCTCCCTTGTGCTCACTCTTGACTGGCCACCACAAGTGTCCATCACAGCTTCTCGACCCCAGGCAGAAGGAAATCCACACTCCCAAGGCGATAACTCTTTTGAATGGAGGGGGCTGACTTCTGTGGGCCTCTGGCCTCCTGACCATAAAGCAGGCATTTCCCAGTGCACCAGCCCAGCTGGATTACTTCCCTTCTGGCCCAGAGAACTCCACCTCCCAGAATCTGGGCAAGGCCATGTGACTCATTCCGGCCACATAGTACGAGCAGAAGTTACTGAACCTCTTCCACTGCTGACTCATTCAAATTTTCTCCTCTGCTCTCTCCTCTTCCTTGGAAAACTTGAAGCCTTTGATTGATTGGAGATAGATTGCCTCACAGTCTGGAAGAAGCCTGAGTCCCCAGAGGGATATCCAACTACATTGACTGTGACATGAGTAAGCAACTGAAGCTCCCAAGATTTGAGGGTTTGCTGGGCTTCCTAGGTGGCGCTAGTGGTAAGGAACCTGCCTGCCAATGCAGGAGACATAAGAAATGCAGGTTCGAGCCCTGTGTTGGGAAGATCCCCTGGAGAAGGGCATGGCAACCCTCTCCAGTATTCTTGCCTGGAGAATCCCATGGACAGAGGAGGCTGGCGGGCTACAGTGCGTGGGGTCGCAAAGAGTCAGACACGACTGCAGCATGCACGCTGTGACCCGGCAGAGGCAGGCTCCCCTGGCTAGACCAGACCACCTGACCCTTCCCAGGGCCACGGCTCCTCTGATCTTTCCTCTGACTCACCCTCCTCAGGGAGGAAGGCTCAAGCTTCCCCTTCCCCCTCTTTCCACGAGAAGGTCTGGGTTCTAATGCCCCATTCAGGTCCACAGACTCCCCCCAGGTATCTATCAGGCTCGTGAGGACAGACCTTGTGGCCAGCCCAGCAGTCTGGAGCTCCCCCAAGTCCCGCTTAGATGAGACCATGACATGACTTCCACCACACCCTCTTGGTCTGGACCTCTGTTTCCCCACACACACCAGAAGGACCTCGGAAGATGGCTCTCAAGTCTAGGAAAGCACATCTGAAACAGACTGCTCACAGCCAATACCCAGCAGACCGCACCCTGGCCCAGCCTCCAGCCTACATATGACCCATAAATGCTCCCAGCTGAGCAAACATGTTTTATGGAGCCTGGGGACGCTTCCTGGCCTCACTGTTCCCACCTTCCCGTGTCCTGCTCTGGCCTGGCCAGCTCCCCAACACTGCACCTCTCTGGGACCCCCAATCCCCATCCTTAAGTTTCCCTCCACCTCCTACCCCTTTCCCCCAACTCCCGCCACAAGGAGGGTGGAAAGTTTCTTCTCTTATCAGCCGTTTTACTGCCCCCTCCTCCCTGGTTACACAGTAATTGGGAACAAAACTCCTGGCAAGAACGGGTTGATCCTATCAGTTTGCAGTCGACAGTTTACTAGACGGAGGGAAAGGGTCCCCTCAGCGAGGTCCCAGGAGGCAGGTAAGAGGTGTGCAAACAGGAGGGGGACAGAAAGGACCCCCAAAGGAAGGGAAAGGAGCCTGGAAGGAGCCTACTGAGAAGCTTGTGCAGTGAAGTTGGGGAGAGAACAGAAGAAAGTGCTGGCTGGACCAGAGACGCCAGGGGAGGTTCAGACACCAGCGTTCAGCCCAGCCCCGGCACAGAGAGCCAGCCTGGTGGTGACCCCGTGACCCTCTTCAGAAGCCTCCACCTGCAGGGCAGCCAATGCGGAGGCGCTTTGGGAAGAAGGCCTGTTCTGGAATCTGGGCGCCGCAGGAGCCGGAGGAATCGAGGAGGATTTCTGGGAGCACCCCTCAAGCTGCAGTGTGGCCCAGGACTGGGTTGGCCACCTGGGGCTCGCCGGTGGCACTCCAGCCTTCCAGAGGTCTGACCAGAGCCGGCAGGAAAGAGCCGCACACCAGAGAAAGAGTAAAGGTGGACACTTTGCCTCCAGATCTCCTCTGGGGGCAGCCTCCCTCTTCCTTCCAGCCCTGTTTTCCTGTTCCCCGCTGGCCATGACCTCAGGGTTCCTGGCTTAGGCTGGGGACTGTGAAAGGGACCACCCCGGAGAAGACCCATCACAGTAGGACTGAACTCAGTTTAGCAATGGCGATTCCCTCCATGTTGAGTCAACGAGGGCTCTAAGCCCGTGGGCACAGGTACAGCCCCTTCCAGCTTTCCCGACAGAAGCAGCATCCTTGATCCCAAGGTGTTTTGAGGTGACCCACAGAAGTCCCCATGGAGACATAACCGTGCTGGATAATCCAACGTGAGAATCTCTGTTCACCTCTACTCACCCTCTTGATTCCAGGAAAGAGGACCTTGATTTCAGGAAAGCAAGGACCCCTCCACGGGCATTGGCCCCTCTGCCCCCTCGCAGCTGCCCGTGGAGGGTGCCAAGGCAGGCTCTGATCTCCATGGGAGATGGAGAGGAAGAGCTCGGGGTACTGTGAGGCTCCAAAGAAACGGGGCCTGTCCTTCTCCATCGAGGACATCTTAAAGAGGCCGGCTGAGAGGAGCGATGTGGTCAGGCCAGAAGGGACAAGTGGATGGGGCACCAGGCAGGCAGCAGCTGCAGATTTCAGGCCAGAGAGACCCCCGCAGGACCAGTCCCAAGGTAAGTGTCTTCTGGCCAATTCTTACTCACTCCTGGGCCTGCAAGCCCCAGGTGGGTTCAGGCAGAGAGAAAGCTGCTCTGTATCAACAGAAGAGAGGACTCCAAAATTCAGAGAGATGTCAGGTACTGGGCCGGTAGCCTTAAATATCTCTCTACCTAGCCCAGAAATGGGGCTGTTCTAATTCGGCCACCAAGGCCCGGTTCACTGCAGGATGCGGGGATCTGGGGCTTGTTCCCACAACCAGGCCGTAGCTGAGAATGCCGGCCATTTATTTATGCTGAACATTTCTTTATTCTGTGGTCGGCACCATCCTGGAGGCTGTGCATGTCTCTGACTTCAGCAGAAAATTATCATAAACTAGACTGATGAGAAACTCATCTGTGAAAGAGGAGGGGCGGCTGGTGCCCCCCAGGTCACACAGAGAACCGGAGACCCAGCCACCCGAACACCTGCTGAGGCGGTCGTGCTCTTTCCCTTCGCAAGTGGAGTTCAGCCTGCACGGCCTCTAGTGGCTGAAGCTCTGCCCCAAATCTGCCCACCCTGATCATACCTTAGGCCAGGGCCCCCCCCAGGATTTACCCCCAAACAACATTGACCAGATCCCGGGCCTCTCCTTAAGGACTAGCTTGAGGAGGGGGCGGAGGAGGGAACATGCATGTTCCTAGGATTCAGACACCCGTGGTCAGTCTCAGCTGTCCCCCAGCCTGCTGAGCCACCCTGGCCAAGCCCGTTTCCACTCTGACCTCAGCTTCATCCTCAGTGAGACAGCTGAGTAAGGGAGAAAATGAAGCTGGTGATGTCTTGGGGGTCCACTGGAGTCTGACCAGTGATGAGCCTGGGGTGTCCACAAGAATGCCCTGGTCCTCTCTCCTTTCCAGTGCTTTAATCCAAGGAAGGGCTTCCCCAGAGGCTCAGTGGTAAAGAGTCTGCCTGCCAATGCCAGAGCTGCTGGTTTGATCCCTGGGTCAGGAAGATCCCCTGTAGAAGGAAATGGCAACCCACTCCAGTATTCTTGTCTGTGAAATCTCACGGGCAGAGGAGCCTGGTGGTCTACAGTCCATGTGGTCACAAAGAGTCAGACATGGCTGAGTGACTAAACAACAGCAATCCAAGGGAAAGAAGCTCAAGGCAGCCATGACGCCTTCTCCTCCCAAACACGGAGCCCCACTCCATCCCCCAGGTCGAGTCTCCTAAGAGGGGGTTGGTGCTCACTGGTGGTGAGCCAAAGGAAAGAGCCTGGGGTTAGGGGGGGTCATGTGTCCCCAGAGAGCTAGTGGGTTTCCTAGTAGCTGACCCTATCGATAGGAAAGTGTCCCAGCTTAATTGTCAGAAGCTAATTAATATCTTCCAGTGAATTGAATGAGCAATGAGCGTTCACAGGAACCATTCTGGTGAAGGTCTAACCTGAGTGTCTCCTGCTGCAGCTACATAAAATCTACGTCCGTCCTCTCTGCAGCAGAGGAAGAGAGAGAGAGACCTTATTTCCCTTCCCAGAGCACTTTCCCTTCCCCTAGCCCAACACTGGCTGTTGGCAAAAAGGAGGCCAGTCATGCTGAACCTCCACTGAAGCTGCTGGAATGTTCCAGGTCAGCTAGACCCAGAGGAGACACCCAATAAGTGCTTGGGAAAATAGCAGTCATAAGATTGGACTGAGCTTTCACGGCAATGTCATGGCCATTGTTTCCATCCATTTGTCACAGTTGTGAGCCCCACCTTAGAGCTGATGAAACCAAGAAGAGAAAATAAATCACCTGCAAAAATCACACGAGTATGTCACATTAGAATTGAACCCTGGCTTCCTGAGATCATCCACTCTAGATTATTTCTGAATGTGGCTAAAATCCATCCATCTCCCTCCTAGGCTGGAATTCAGCATTTCTACTTTTTTGGCCATGCCACAAGCATTAAGGATCCTACTTCCCCAACCAGGGATCAAACCCATGTCCCCTGCAATGAAAGCTCAGAGTCCTAATAGTTGGACTGCCAGGGAAGTCTCAGGAATTCAGTTTCTAAAGAGACTCATGAGGGTCCCCCTGGAGGTTTTCAAGATGACTTTGAAGGTGAGGAAGGCAAAGATTATTCATGTCAATAGTCCTGTAATGACTTCTACACTAACCTTCTATTTATGATGCATGATACCAGTTACCCATTTATGGTCACGATATGAGGTTTTCTTTTAATATATATGCATTTATTTAGGGCTTTTCAGGTGGTGCTAGTGGTAAAGAACCTGCCTGCCAATACAGGAGATATGAGAAATGTGAGTTTGATCCCTGGGTAGGGAAGATCCCCTGAAGAAGGAAATGGCAACTCCCTCCAGCATTCTTACCTGGAGAATCCCTTGGTCAGAGGAGCCTGGCAGGCTACAGTCCATGGGGTCACAAAAGAGTCAGACATGACTGAGCAACTACACAACAACTGTCATAGCTAAAAAGCAGACAAGGTGTAAATGAATGGGTATGTTTATGTTCCAATAAAATTTTATTTACAGTTATAGGCAGAATGCCAGGTCTGGCCTCAGGCTATAGTTCATCAACCCCTAAAGCTATTGGCGTGACATTCAAAGTCCTTCACAGACCAGCCTTGCAGGTCCCCAGATTCATCCCCCATCACGGCCTGCCTGCCCCTCACCCTCCAGGTACACGGAGCATCTCTCTCACTTTCAATCTTTCAAGCCCTTTTATGTCTCCAAACTTTGCCCTTTAAAACCCTCACTCCTATTTCCCCTTCTTCTTCCTCCTTTTCCTCTTCCTTCCCTCATCCTCTCCCTCTATATGAGCTTCCTTTAGCTGCTGTGCCAATTACCATAAACTGAATGGCTTAAAACAACAGAAACTTGTCATCTTAGAGTTTCAGAACCAGAAGTCCAAAACCAAGGTGTTGGTAGGGTTAATTCTTTCCAGAGGCGCCAAGGGAAAAACTACTCAGTGCCTCCCTCCCAGCTCCCCCTGGCTGCCAATGATCCACAACCATCTTTGGCCTGTAGACACATCATCCCACACTCTGACTCCATCGTCACTTGGCCTTGTGGAATCCCCCTCTCCTTTATCTCATAAGGACACATGTCACTAGACAAAGAATCTACCCTAAATCCAGGAGAGTCACATCTTAAGATCCTTGGCCTAATTGTACCTGCAAAGACCTTATCTGTATATAAGTTCACCTTCACAGGTACCAGGGGTTAGAACTGAGATGTTTCTTCTTGAGAGGAAGACAATTCAACCCACTCTATCTTTCCTCACTCCTTCATCCCCCTCATTTTCCTCACTTTTTCATCCCCCTCATTTTCCTCATTCCCCCTCCTTCCTTGTCCCCGTCCCCTTTCTTCTCTCTTTCCCGCCTCCCTCCTTCCTTCCTCATCCTCCCCTCCCCACCCACACTGCCTAAAACTAAAGACAGTGGACCCTCGGCTCTGCTCTGGGCCTGGAGAGGGAGCCCTGACTCAGGGCGGGGCCGGCTTCTTCTTGCTGTTCCTCTTCTTCTCTCACACTGTTCCATGCTTGGGTGATGGCTCTTTATGACTCTTCATAGATCACTTTTGGTCTCCATACGTAGCACTCTCAAAGTTTCCTTTTTCAGTTTTTAAATCCCTACTGTGTTCCTACAGAGTGTATACTTCCCCAGATATGCCTTGTAGTGGGGCTTTCCTGGTGGCTCAGATGGTAAAGAATCCACCTGCAATGCGGGAGACCTGGGTTCGATCCCAGCCCCTGGAGGGGGACATGGCAACCCACTCCAATATTCTTGCCTGGAGAATCCCCATGGACAGAGGAGCCTGGTGGGCTACAGTCCATGGGGTCACAAAGACCATAGGATCGTGGACAGGACTGAGTGACTAAGCACATATGCCTCGTAAGGTGGGAGTTGGTCATCATTTTTTTGGCCAGAAGTGGCTCTTCTCCCTGTTACAATACCCAGGACTTTGGTTGCCTCTAATCTGGGCACTCTGCAGGTTTGCATTTAGGTTGGCCTTCTGTGTGTATTTTCACAGAGATAAAAGTTAGCTGACTTCCTCCTCAGTTCTTGGCAGGAAGGACAACTAAACATGAACTCTCCCATTGAATAGAAACAAGTTCTGTAGCTCTTCCCAGGTCACAACAGGAAACCTCCCCCAGTGTTACAGCTGGTGTCGTGTCTGGTCCCCTGCTTTGTCACAAGTATGAAATGGAAAGGAACAAGGGCAGGCTCCCTTTGGGGCCCTCCAGCAGGCTGAGGACACCTTCTAGACAAGACAGGTGGCTTGCAGAGAGGCACCTCCCAGGGCAGAATGTGCCAGCCTTTTTCCCCCAGATTGGTCCTGGACTTCTACAATTACCTGTGCCCGCAGCATGCAAGGCACGCTCCTTGGCTCGGCATTCAAGGCTCTTCACTCTCCCCTTTAACAGTGTCACCTGCTTTCTCCCCAGTCCTCACTTCCATGGGTAGGAGCCTGGATCTTCTTCCAACCGCTGCTTTAGGATGACAAGGACAAGGCTCATTTCAGGAGTCTTAGCCCAGCTGCAAAGCCCCTGGGGCCTCTAGCTGAGTGGCCAAGGCCAATTAGCAGACCTCAGAGAAGGAGCAATCAGAGGAGGGAGCCATGCACAAAGAAACATCAGTTTATAATTAGGTGGCCTAATCACCTGTGTAAATTGTGTATTTCTTATGATCAATGTGCTAAACGGCTCAGGTTTAATTAAGTTCTGCTGACTCGGTCTCTTTGAAGACCCATTGAAGTGTGATCACAGCTCAAGCAATTAATAACCTGTGAGGAGCAACTTGAGAGAGGTGGCAGTTCCCTGCCTCCTTCGTCCCCCCTCTTCCCACCCTCCCCTGAGTGCCCTCGGATGGGGTTCCACACCCCCATTGTCCTCACTGAGCCAGGGCTGGAAACTCCCAGCCCTTCTCCACAATTAAGAATCATCCTGTGTGATGGGCATTCCATCCATGAACTGGTTCTTCCAGCTTCCTGTTTAATGAGGTTCCTTCTGGTTCCAAACTACTATGTTCTTTCAGCATCCTGTGTTCTGCCTTCTTCTCTGTTCCGTAATTCATTTATGCTGTTCTTCCTGCCCTCACCAGGTTCCTCTCTCTTATCACCTACTATGGTCTGTAACCCAAGCATCAGGCTTGCTGGCCCCCCTCCCTGCTTTCCTAAAGCAGCTCTTGCATTTGATGGGAAAACTGAAGTGTCACCCGTCACCCTTCCTGAGCCAACCACTCAGCTTCTGCTCTTCCCCCTCCCCGCTTCCCTGTGAACCACGAGCAGCTCACTCTTCCCTGAATCACTGCCTGGAGCTCCAGGGCAACATCCTCTCCACTGGTCATCCTTCTCCCCAGGCACCAGGAAGGAGATGGGTGTGGGCCAGCCTTCCCTTTCTCTTACTTTTCCTGTACTTCCAGTTTTCCCAAAACCATCAAATTCGGCTCTATGACCGATGAATACTCATTTTCCTAGAGATATGTGGCAATTAGAGGAAAGTGCGACAGAAGGAGAAACTTAAAGTGAGGCCCAGAATATGACTTCTTCCAGAACCCAATGGGAAAACTTGTAAGGGAGCCCTGTCCAACAGAACTTTCTCTGATGATGGAAATGTTTTCTATCTATGCTCTCTAATATGGTAGCCACTAGCCACATGTGGTTATGACCTATAACCAGTGTGGCTAAGGAACTATATTTTTTTTTATTTTATTTTATTTAAATATCTATAGGCAGATAGTGGTTACCATGTGAACAATGCAGATCTAAACAGTTGAACTTCTAATAAGGTCCAGCCTTAATCCTATCCTTATTTCCCTGATGTCAGATTCAAGTCTATCTGTCTCCCAAAACTGCTCTTCTGATTGGGTGTCACTAGCCATATTTCAGGGACCCCCACTCACTGGGGGTGATGTCAGCTCCAGGATTCCTCTCCCTACCACTCTTTTTTACAGTTCTCCAATTTAGACATATTCAATTTCAAATAACATCCCAAGAAGGATTGTATGAAGATAATCAGTGTTGACTACTGACACCCCGAGAACCCATGCTCAGTCTTGGGAGAAGGACTTTGGTCCTTGAGTCCTTCAGGCTGGTCCACTTGGGGCTCTGCCTCCATCTCACCAACCATGTATATTTTAGACAACCCTGTTTCTTTTCAGGAGAAGTGACTACATCTGTTGGACACACACATATACATCCTGTCACCATGATTGAGAGATCATCATCTCTCAAGAATAAACATTTGTCCTGAGGATGTTGAGTTCAAAGTTAATGAGAATAAATATTTTTCTAACTGGCTCATAACTGACAGGCAGCCCCTCTCCGCAAAGTCAACAATCACATTATTTTGCCAAGGAGGGCTCAGATCCTTTTCTTATAACCTTATCTCCAGGTTATGTCCTTCTGATCCTCTAGGAAATAAGGGAAAGCTGTATTTGTCTTATTAGCTGCTTCCTTAGTTATACAAATGGAAACTTGAGATAATTATTTTATTAAGGAGTCTATACTTAGTTATGGACACTTGTTTGCCTAAGTTTCCTTCTGGGGAAAAAGCAAGAGATGGCTTATTTTTGCTTTTTTCTTAATAACTTTTTAAAATATGTATTTATTTAGCTTTCTGACTCCTTAGTCGCAGCATGTGGGATCTAGTTTCCTGACCAGGGGCCGAACTCGGCCCCCTGTATTGGGAACACAGAGTCTTAGTCACTGGAACACTAAGGAAGACCCTATTTTTGTTATAATTTACAATCTGTTTCTAATCCTCTGTTCTCCATGTTGCTTACTTTCCTGTATTCCAGCTCTACACCTTACCTTTTTGGTTCAGTATCCTCTATTCCAAAGTTCTATATTCTTAGAAGAATCCCAGGTGCATGTTATCCTGAACCTCCATTTGCCCATCCAACCTGAAATCTTCCATTCTGTGAATTTTCTGGTAATTTTCTATAAAGCTGCACTGTATCATTACAGTTATCTAAAATGCTGACCTGGGGAATAAATGAATGAGAGACTGTCAGCACAGCTCATTCATCTTTGTTCTCCTGCAGGCAGGCCCCCTGTGCCTAGCACAAAAGACATTCAGTAAGGTCTTGGCAATGGATTCATGCCCCCCATTTCTGTCTGCACCAGCTCTGGTTGGGATTGGCTCTACCCTTTAAATGCACCACCAGCTCCAAACAGAGAATAAATCTCTCTTTTTTTAAAATTAAAAAGTACAGTGGACTTGAGGAGAGAAAGGGAAATAGAAAAGGTAAGAGATCAGATCATATCAGCTGGTTCACAATCCAACAGCTTCCTCCAAGGTGTAATTATGTTTGAAATCTCACCGTCCACAACCCCTAAGAAGCTTCCAAGAGTCAGGAAAATGAGTAAAATTACTTTGAGGGGACAAAAAAAAATGGACTAATAACAATGAGGGGTAGTTGGGAGGCAAGAGATGAGTGGCTGGACCTAGAGTCTGTCACAGAGAATGAAGTAAGTCAGAAAGAGAAAAACAAATATCATATATTAATGTGTGTGTGTGTGTGTGTGTGTGTGTGTGTATGGGATCTAGAAAAATGGTACAGATGAGCCTATTTGCAGGGCAGGAATAGGGACACAGACGTAGGGAACAAACATATGGACACAGTGGGGTGGGAGACTGGACTGAATTGTAAGAATAGCACTGACATAAGTACACTGGTGGTTTAGTCTCTAAGTCGTGTCCAAGTCTTGTGATCCCACAGATTGTAGCCCCCAGGCTCCTCTGTCCTTTACAGGCAAGAATACTGGACTGGCTTGCCTTTTCCTTCCCCAGACACAACTACACTACCGTGTGTAAAGCAGATAGCCTGTAGAAACCTGCGGGATAACACAGGAGCTCAGCTCACTGCTCTGTGATGACCTAGAGGGGTGAGATGGTAGCAGTTTAAGAGGGAGGGGGTAATATGTATACATATAGCTGTTTCTCCAGTAATTTGGCCACTTAATGTGAAGAGCTGACTCACTGGAAAAGACCCTGATGCTGGGAAAGAATGAAGGCAAAAGGAGAAGGGGGTGGCAGGGGATGGGATGGTCAGATGGCATCACCAACTCAATGGGCATGAATCTGAGCAAACTCCCGGAGATAGTGGAGGATGGGGAAACCTCATGTGCTGCAGTCCATGCAGTCGCAATGAGTCAGACACATCATAGCAACTGAACAACACAGCTGATTCACTTTGTTGCACAACAGAAACTAACATAACATTGTAAAGCAATTATACTCCAATAAAAAATAAATAAAATAAAATCAGAGGTTAAAAAAAGGGGCAGACTATGGAAGGCACTTGTCAACTCTTAGAAATTCAGGAGTAACTCAGCCAGAAGTGTTATCCTCAGCAGAAATCTCTCCTTCATCCATCTACCGTTTGCCCAGCCAACTGGGCCCCCAGGCAAGGCTGAGGCCGGGTTTTTCAAGCCTCCACCTGAAGAGAAAGAGAATTGCAGAGGGCCAGGGTGGATTTGGCCTTAGTGATTTGATCATTCAACCCCTCTCCACTCCCCCATTCTACAGATAGGGAGACTGAGGCCCAGAGAGTAAATAAAATACGGCCCAAGCAAGGACCAGGGTCCTGGAGCCTCAACTCATGCTCAGGGCCCCTCTCACCACCTCCTTGCTTCCCTGGGATGGGCTCTCAGTCCTGTTTCCCCATAGCCCCTCAATCCAGTGACCTCAGCCACCTCGTGTGTGTGTTAGTATTCTTGTGCCTGAGGGAGAAGCGCCTTAAGTAGCAAGTGAAAGACCACTATGACCAGTTGAGAAAGAGACTGTGGAAGAAAGGAAAAAGTTTTTTTTTCTGCACTAGGTCCCGCCTATGATGTAGAAGCCCTGAGTGGGCCTGAGACTGGACAGGTGGCTGGAAACAGGCTGTCAGGGGCTGACTGCTGAGGCTTCTCTGTAAAGGGCTAGATGGTAACTATTTTAGATTTTGCAGTCTCTGTTTCAGCAACACAACTCTGCTATTATAGCACAAAAACAGCCATAGATAATACATAAACCCATGTGTCAGGCTGAGTTTCAATAAAACTTTATTTCTAAAAACAAACAGAGGGCCAGATGTGACCCCCCAGGCTGTGGTTTGCCATTCCTTGTTACAGACAAGGGAAATTTGCTTGAAGGCATCTGAGCAGCAGAAAGGACAAAGAAGTTTCTAGAAGGTCATCTTGGCCACACCGTCCAGGATGGATAGAGGGAGTCAACCTAGGGGTAGGGTTTCTTGGAGAGAGAACATTGTAAAAGGCCAAGCCTAAGAAGCCAGAGGCCAAGTCGTGGCAACAGTGGTTTAATGGGTACAACAAGGCAGCACAAAAGCTTCACTGACACGAAGGTCACTAACCCAGCTTGGACTCTCCTCCCTCCAGAGGGGAAGAAGGGTAAGCGGAGGATCCGAACCACCTTCACCACAGAGCAGCTGCAGGAGCTGGAGAAGATCTTCCACTTCACTCACTACCCTGATGTCCACGTCCGCAACCAGCTGGCAGCCAGGATCAACCTCCCAGAAGCTCGTGTGCAGGTACAACCATCCCCCTCCCTCAACCCCCCTCCTCAATGCCCTTGGGGGCATGGGTGAGACCCCAGGTATCCTGCACCCTTGGGACTGCCCCCATTTGAAATTTTCCATTGGCTTTATCCCATGATACAGTTCTTTTGTCCAAATATCATTTTCCAGGAAATGAAGTTACCATAGTTATAAGATGCTTCCTCTCCTTGGAGGACAGACATGGAGGGGTTCTTATGATGATGGCCATTGGCATCTGGTTCCACTCCCTTCTTCTCCACTTTACTGTCGTTCCAAAGCATCATTCACCACACAACCTCATTCACAAAATAGGTCTTGACAATCTAGACTAAGGGTCAACAGACTTCTTCTGTAAGGGACAAGGTGCTAATTATGTTAGGCTCTGTGAGGCCATATGGTCACTGTCATAACTATTCAATTCTGCCCTTGTAGCACAAAAACAGCTATAGTTTACAACATATAAACAAATGAGCATGTTCCAATAAACTTTACTGATGAGCACTAAAATTTGAATTTTGTGTCATTTGCATGTCACCAAATTTAGATTTTTTCCCAACCACTTAAAAATGTGTAAACCATACTTAGTACAAGGGCTGTACAAAAACAGGTGGGACTGTTCCAACCTCTGACTTGGAACACATGGGTATCACTTTGGCAGCAGCACAGAGAAGTGGCAAGGACTCTCCATGGTCAGAGACCTAATCTGTAATCTGTCATTTCTTCCCCCCCACCCCTCGAGTGTCTAGGCTTCCTCCGTGGTTAGATATATAGCAGCCCCTCATCAACAGTATGTCCCACTCTCTTTGCACATCCCCAGTTCTGCAAGTATTGCTCTAGCAAATCCAAAACCAATTGTTACATATTTGCACTCTCTCTAAAACAGTTTTCTAAATCACTCTTCATTTTTTTAACAAATATGATGGGGGAACTATACTCAACATCTTTTTTTATAACTTAATTTTTAATGAATAAACAAAACAATCTTTGAAAAACAGAAAAATACAATTCTTATTTTATATTGGAGTATATTTGATTTACAATGTTGTGTTAGTTTCAGGTGTACAACAAAGTGATTTAGTTACACATTACATAGATCTATTCTTTTTCAGATTCTTATCCCATATAAGGTTATTACAGAGTACTGAGCAGAGCTCCCTGTGATATACAGTAGGTCTTTGCTATCTATTTTATATACATTAGTGTGTATATGTTAATCCCAACCTCCTAATTCATCCCTTCTCCTCTCCACCTTTCAATATCTTGTAATAACCTATAATGGAAGAGAATGTTAAAAAGGAATACATATATTTGTATGTATACATATAACTGAATCACTTTGCTGTACATCTGAAACTAACACAACATTGTAAATCAATTATATTTCAATACTTTCTTGAAATATACAATGGATTTATTAAATTCAAAACCTGCACCAAGGTCCACCCTTCATTTCATCCAAGCCTACTTTTCTTCTGGTCATGGCCCACCCCTGTCTGGACTTCACCCCTTTTACTTCTGGTCATGGCCCACCCCTGTCTGGACTTCACCCCTTTTACTTCCCATTTGAAATCAGTCACCAACTAGGTGGGTAGCATCTACATCTAGTGTAAAGCCCAGACTTCAACACTGCCTCAGCAGAATGGCCAAGTGCAAATGGCCATGTGTCACAGACAGTCAGGGTGCCCATGAATACAGGCAACCCTCAATAGTCAACCTAAGATACCAGACGCCTCACTGGGGTTTCAAACGGGTGGCCCACCAGCAGGTAAGAGCTGGGTTTTCTCTGATCTGCATGGTTTTTTTAAAATCTCAGAGCTTTCACAGAAAAATCAAGATTTCTGCCTTAGAAGTTGGATGAAGCTGCAGCACTGGCCTCACATTTCCACATGGTGGCTATTGGCTGAGGCTGAGACGCTGCCCCCTTCAGCCTCGGCTCACCCCGGACCCCACCACTCCCAGTTACAGGGCACCCTGCTGGTTCACGCTCCCTCCTATGAGTCCCCCAGCCCCTGTAGGCATGGAAGGTTGTGACCTCGGAACCCCTCTCCCAAGGCAGATCAGATCCAAAGAAATCATGGCTGCCGTTGACCTTTCTAAACTGTAAAGGGGTGGTCCCTTGGAAGGAGCCGTCATCATGTATTTTGAGGAGAGGAACTGGATGGAGAAAAGCCCCTTTGCTTATCTCCATCCTCTCTTGCCTTCATCTCAGATCTGGTTCCAGAATCAGCGAGCCAAGTGGCGGAAGCAGGAGAAGACAAACAGCGTTGGGGCTTCGCAACCGCTGAGTGAGGCCGGCTTGGCCCCGCCCACAAACCCGGACGTGGCCGTGAGTGGCTGACGCACGCGGGGGTGGGGCTGGGGGCGGGGCTGAGGCAGGGTCACTGTCTGGGACCATCTCCTCCAGATTGGAACACCTTGGGGGCTCTGTTCACTGTTCAGTTTAGTTCAGTTCAGTTCAGTAAAACAGTCGAGTCCAACTCTTTGCGACCCCATGGACTGCGGTACACCAGGCTTCCCTGTCCATCACGAACTTCCGGAGCTTACTCAAACTCCACTGTAAACATTGGCAATTCTTTTAGAAAGAGCGTGGGCATGGATGCCTGGGAAACCTGCTGGAAGTCTCTGCCTCTGTCCCCGTGTCCTCATCCACTGAGTGACCATCACAATCCTCTTCCTCTTCCAGGGACTGACTTGTATTACTTGTGTAAAACATCCCAGTTTATGAAGCAGGGTCACAGAGTAAAGGGCACTGTGTGGGAATGGAGCCCATTGGCTCTGGAGTCAGGCTGCCAAGACCCAGGTTCGAATCGCAGCTCTGCCCTAAGCAGTATGTGACCCGGAAGAGTCCTTGTGCCCCTCAGAGGCCAGTCATAGATTCGATGAGGATGAAATGACTAAGTCTTGAAGAATGTCTGCCACCCAGGAAGTGGTTGCTAAAAATTAAACATTCATTGAGTCAACAAATTTGGAGTGTGTACCAGATGCTAGTGCTGGATTCAGATCCAGTCCTGAATATTCATTGGAAGGACTGGTGTTGAAGCTGAAACTCCAATACTTTGGCTACCCGATGAGAAGAACTGACTCATTTGAAAAGACCCTGATGTGGGGAAAGATTGAAGGCGGGAGGGGAAGGGGATGACAGAGGATGAGATGGTTGGATGGCATCACCAACTCAATGGACATGAGTCTGAGTAAACTCTGAGAGTTGGTGATGGATAGGGAGGCCTGGCATGCTGCAGTCAATGGAGTCACAAAGACATGACTGAGTGACTGAACTGAACTGAACCAGATACCAAACAGAGGTGAGACAGCAGTGCAGAAAACACAGTCCTGTGGTTAATGATTTGTACCAACCCACAATGACTCTATGAGGTAGGATTTTTAATTTATCCATTTTTGCTGATGCAGAAACTGGACTCTGAGAAGCAAAGTGACTTTTCCAAGACAGACAGTTGCTGTAAATGCTGGAATGAGGACCAGGTTTCCTGGCCCCTCTGGGCAAGCACTTCTCCCCAGGTTGGTCTCCCTATCCACTCTGAGCTGCCAGAGAGTCACCGGGAAAGGCTGGGAAGTTGAGGGACAGTGTGGAGTGAAGCTGGCTGACCCCTCTCCTGGCCTTTCCTTCTGACAGGGCCCCACGCTGCCACACCCTGCACAGCCCAGGCTGCTTCCTCTCACGGGGTGCTGTCCACCAGCTCAAAGTCAACTGACCTCTGCCTGGCTCCCCGCCCAGATCACCCTCCTCCCATGCCACCCATGGAAGACACAGCCTCTGCCAGCCCCTCTCATCATCCAGCAGACCTGCATCCCTACACTCTGCTTTGTTCCCACCTCCGCACCCCAGAGGAGGCAGCATCTCTACCATCTCCATAACAGAGACTGGACATCCTCTCCTGCGTGGAGCCTCTCTCCTCTCCAGGTGAAAACAGGTGGTGGGAAAGTAACCAGGTCTCTGGGGGAATCTATCTCATGATTCAGAGATGACCCATAGTTCAGGAAGCCACCCTGAGCATGTCTTTTGGCAGGTTACTTCGGATTCAGCAGCAAGGTGACCAGTAGAGGAAGCTCTCCTCTCTCCTGGCCAGTGTGGCCCTCCTGCTTCAGGCAACAGATGTGAGGTCTCAGGATGAGACCTGGAAGGAGATTGCCCTCTTGAACCTGTGTTTCCTTTATGTGGTTATGTGACCTCCAGCCAGTCGCTCACCGCTCTGGACTTCATCTTGTAACACAGGCTGTTGCACAGATGACTCCTGACCACCCTTCTGGCCCTTACCTTGGTGAGATGAACCGTGGTGAGAACAGCACAGAGAAGGCCAAGGAGGGGTTGTCTGTTCACTCACTTGTAAGACACTTATTAAACACCTACTGAGTGCCTCATACATGGAACTGGATATTGGCATGAACAACTGAGGCTCTGCCCACAGGAGCTCAGTCCAGGATGACCAAAAGGGTAATGCTGACCTTCCCCTGCAGGCAGAACATTTGCTCAATGACCTTGCAAGAGGTCATTAATTAATGACCTCAGTTAATACATTCTGTTAGGGATTGATATGAATGTTCTAAAGAGGAAGAGAAATATAGAAACATTTCTTTAAAACTTTAAACAGAATTTAGTGTCTTTGGTTATTCTGCCAGGCTGGGGATGGATGTTGTCATTTCTGGTTTGGATGAAGGGAAAGATAATAAGCTCTAGTCACAGTTCATCTTCCCAGGACTTTGCAAGGGGCCCAGTTAGAAAGCCAGCCTCATTCTATGCTGAAAATTCTAAGAAACAGGGAAAGAAAGAGACAGAGAAATTGATTTTTTTTTAATATAACGGATTGGTTTTCACAGTTATGGAAGTTGAAAAGTCCCATGAGCAGCAGTTGGCCAGTTGAAAATGGAGACCCAGGAGAGCAGAGAGTATCAGTTCCAGTGTGAGACTGAAGGCAGAAGTGCCATGTCCCAGTTCAAAGACAGTAAGGCAGAGAGAGCAAATTCTTCCTTCTCCCACAGTTTCGTTCTATTCAACCCTCAATGGATTGGATGAGGTCCACCCACATGGAGGAAGGCCATCTGCTTTACTCAGTCTGCTGATCACAATGTTCGTCTCATCCAGAAACACCTTCACAGACATACCCAGAATAATGTGTAGCTGAATATCTAGTTACCCTGTGGGCCAGTCATGTTGACACACAAGATTAACCATCCCAGTCTCCATCCCCTTTCCTAGTCACATCCTCCCTCCAAGCATAAGGGGTTCAGGTGACCAGAGTGCCTCAGCTTCAGTACAGATGTGAAAGCTGGTTTTGGGGGGCCACCTCTTCCACTCTAGGTGTTCCTTTTCCCCCAATAACTATTTTCTTCCCTTCACCTTATATCTGTGAGGCAAATGAATCACTTTAGCACTCTTACCAGCTGTGAAAACTTGGGAAAGAGACACATTACCAGGACTTCCCTGGTGGTCCACTGACTAAGACTCCAAGCTCCCAATGCAGGGGGACTGGGTTCAATCACTAGTCAGGGAACTAGATTCCACATGCCACAACTAAAGATCCCTCATGCTGCCAGCAAAGATCAAAGATCCTGCATGCCGCAACTAAGACCCAGTGCAACGAAATGAAAAAAAATAAAGAGAGAGAGAGAGAAACACATTCCCTCTGTGTATCTGTTCCTTGGAGAGCAAGTTTCTTGTCTCCGAGGGTTTCTCTATTACATGAGTTAATAAGCATGTGCATATACATACTCTGTATCCAACTCTTTGCAACTCCACGGATGATAGCCCACTAGGCTCCTCTGTCCATAGCATTCTCCAGGCAAGAATCCTGAAGTCGGTTGCCATTTCCTACTCCAGGGGATCTTCCCAACACAGGGATCAAACCCCTGTCTCTTGTGTCTCCTGCCGTGTCAGGGGATTCTTTATCACTGAGTCACCAGGGAAGTCCAAATGAGATAATACATTGTGGTAGATGGTAAGCACAGCTATTAAGAAAAAAGTCATTTTCCCAACTCTCCCTTGTACCTCCTTCAACTTCTGATCCTGAGCAGCTATACTCATCCCAGACTCTTTCCCAGGAGCTCTTAAACCAGCTTTCAGGAAGTCAAGGAACTCTGAAAAGAGTAAGCAAAATTGTGTGTGTGTGTTTGTTTTTCCCAGGCAAAACATTCATTGTTTTCATCAACTTTTCAAAGAGGTTTCAGCTAACAACAATAATAATAAAGGTTTCCTGTTACACATATCTGAGTCAGACCCAATAGGATCCTATTCTAGCTGTGTGGACTAGAGGCATGAGAGAAGTGAAGGGGTCATTTTTTTAAAGGTACTGAAACTGCATTATTTCAGATTGAGACTTGAACTCATTCTCTTTTAATTGAAAACACATACCTGGTCTCAGGACTTACTGAAGCTCAAGTTCTTTATGTCTCAGCACAGAAAGAATGCAGTGAAAGACAAAGTGATAGGTAAGAAGTGGATTTATTTAAACAGACACACACTCCACAGACAGAATGCAGTCCATCTCAAAAGGTGAGACTGGCCCTGGGAGAAACACACTCTACAGACAGAGTGTGGGTCACCTAAGAAGGCAAGAGGCCCCAAAATATGGGGTGGTTAGTCTTAACAGGGGGGCTTCCCAGGTGGAGGTAGTGGTAAACTGCCTGCCAATGCAGGAGACAAAAGAGGTGCTGATTAGTTTTCTGGGTCGGGAAGATCTCCTGGAGGGTGGCATGGCAACTGTTAGGTAGTTAGAATAGGAAACAGGAGTCCAAAATGGTGGTGACTAAAAGACAAGGAAGGGAAAAGCCCGCGAAAATAGAACAAAGGAAGGTCAAAGAAAGTTCCAAGGACCAGAGTGAGGACCTCAGGTAGAACAAACAGCACTCCTGGCTAGCCCAATTTACATAGGGCAGGCCCAGGGGGAGGAAAAAACATATAAAAAGAGGAGCCAACGGGCCGGGGCTCTTTCTTCTCTTCGTGTCTTTGGGTCGGCATGCCCTCATGCCTCGAGGATTTATTTTCCTGCTATTTTCTAAATAAAACTGAGCTGTAACAGAGCTGTAACACTGGTCTGTCTAAGAGCTATAACAGTCTGTTCAAGAACCGAGAGTTATAACACGGTCTGTCCAAGAGCTGTGATGCAACGAGGGCTTTAATATCCGTCGCTTCAAATTTTTGTTTAGATGAGACAGAACCGAGGAGATTACACTCAACTGACAGCAACCCACTAGAGTATTCTTGCCTGGAGAACCCCATGAACAAAGGATCCTGGCGGGCTGCAGTCCATAGGGTCACAAAGAGTCTGACATGACTGAAGCAACTGGGCCCACACAGCTTAATGGGCTGGGTCATTTCACAGGCTAATGAATGGGCGGATTATTCCAACTATTTTGGAGGAAAGTGAAAGTGTTAGTCGCTCAGTCGTGTCCGACTTTTTACAATCCCATGAACTGTAGTCCCGCCAGGCTCCTCTGTCCATGGAATTCTCCAGGCAAGAATATTGGAGTGGGTTGATATTCCCTTCTCCAGGGGATCTTCCTGACCCAGGGATCAAACGCGGGCCTCGCACATTTTGGAGCAGTGAAAGGGATTTCCAGGAATCGGGCCCCTGCCCACTTTTTGACCTTTTATGGTAGGCCTTGGAACTGTCATGGCTCTGCTAGGTGTGTCATTCAACGTATGTTAAAGTATTGTCTGTGTGTGTTAGTTGCTCGGTCATGTCCAACTTTGCAACACCATGGACTGTAGCCCGCCAAGCTCCTCTGTCCATGGAATTCTCTAGGCAAGAATACTGGGGTGGGTTGCCATTCCCTTCTCCAGGGAATCCTCCCAACCCAGAGATCAAACACTGGTCTCCCTCATTGCAGGCAGATTCTTTACTGTCTGAGCCACCACAATGAGCATATAATGAGTCTCAAGTCCTACTGGAAGTCGAATCTTCAACTACCTTGGACCTAGTTAGTTCTAACCAGTTCTGTCTCTTATCTTCAAGGGCTATGTCATTCTTTTAAAGGTTCTGCCCTGCCCCCCTTCCCTCCTGTTTCAGTTCAGTTCAGTTCACTCAGTCGTGTCCAACTCTTTGCGAATGCATGGACTGCAGCACACCAGGCCTCCCTGTCCATCACCAACTCCCAGAGTTTACTCAAACTCATACCCAATGAGTTGGTGATGCCATCCAACCATCTCATCCTCTGTCGTCCCCTTCTCCTCCCGCCTTCAATCTTTCCCCATATCAGGTTCTTTTCAAATGAGTCAGTTCTTCACATCAGGTGGCCAAAGTATTGGAGTTTCAGCTTCAACATCAGTCCTTCCAATGAACACTCAGAACTGATCTCCTTTAGGATGGACTGGTTGGATCTCCTTGCAGTCCAAGGGACTCTCAAGAGTCTTCTCCAACACCACAGTTCAAAAGCATCAATTTTTCAGCACTCAGCTTTCTTCACAGTCCAACTCTCACATCCATACATGACTACTGGAAAAACCACAGCCTTGACTAAACAGCCTGTTTCAATAAGACCATATAAATATAAAATGAACAAGTGCTAAAATTTTATCTAACTCACTAATTAATGGGGAACAAGCAACACATCAGAATAGTTCAAAGGAGAACTCAAAGAACAGACATGGAACAGAGGCAATCAGGAATGCTGAAATGAATTACAAATAAAGACAAAAAGGTTTAACAGACATATGGAAGTAATCAATAGCATCTCAACGGGACACAATTCATTTGCATTTCTATGGATAAGAATTATTTGCTTTAGTACTTTTTATCAATTTAAAGAGTGGGAAAATAGCTCACAAACAATGGAATGGGCTGAAATTCTAAAAGAGTGTGCTAGACAGAGCAATCTTTTAATACCCATTTCAAAGTCTTTCACATTTTTCCTGACCTGAAGTTGCTTAATCTCTCTGAGTATATCAGGACCTGCCTCAGAGGTTAGCTGTGAGATTATATTAGATCATATAGCAAGTTTTTTGTACTTGTAAAACACTGTGATGTTAGGAAATGATTATTGCCTTTCAAACTCCTCTAAGGACTTCCCTGGCAGTCCATCGGTTAGGATTTTGCCTTCCAATGCAAGGTGTGCAGACTTGATCCCTGACTGGTGAGCTAAGATCCTACATGCTTCCTGGCCGAAAAAGCCAAAACATAAAACAGAAACAATATTGTAACAAATTCAACAAAGGCTTTAAAATTAGTCCACATCCAAAAAAAAAAACAAAAACAAAAACTTTAAACAAAGAAAAAACAAACTCCTCTAGAACTCAAGCTTAGAAGTCCACATCTAGAAAGTGTTTAGAAATACAGTGCATGCTAACTTCAATCGTATCCAACTCTTGGTGACCCACCAGGCTCCTCTGTCCATGGGATTTTCCAGGCAAGAATACTGGAGTGAGT